AAACAAAACAAACGATATTGTTTTGTTTTCTTTTTTCATAATAAGCTATTTCAGTATATCTTTGATTTTTTTTATTAAATAATGGTAGGGCGTGAAATGATTGTTTGTGTGCTGTGTTGCGGACTGAATGATCCAATGTTCAATACACAGTGCCGCTGAACACGCTTTACACTTTCAGATGTGGGCACGCTATAAATGTAGTGTGAAAGTTAATTCTATTATTCGGTTCAAAAAGCCAGACAAAACCGTCATGACGGCGGGTGCTGCTGGTTGTCTGCCCTCGTTCTATTCAGTAGTTTAAAATTAAGGCCGGCTATACCTAAACCCTTTACTCGTATTTACAGTGAAAATTATAACGTATTTAGCCAGTTTGCCGTTCTGTGCGTATCCGTACGCCACGGGCTATACACACATATTTATGTGTTCTGAAACTCGTATCTTTTTGTGTTTGGACAAATTAGTCAAATTATTTAAAAACTAGTTAAAGTACCCGACTTCGCTCGGGTCATTAGGTTGAAATATTCTAAATGACTATGTCAGTGTCTGTATTTTGAACTTGTTTTAGCATAGAAGAACAGTCAAAAATATTTTAAACGTTTTTATTTCCCAGAAACATAAAAACACTTCTTTTCTATGTGGCAAGCTAGCGAAAGTACCCGACTTAGCTCGTGTTATTAGGTTTATACTGTATGTATTCTGAACCCAATTTAGCATAAAAGTATAACCTATATACTTTTGTTGCTAAGCAACATGACGTAAAAGCCATTGTTGGAACCCATTGATACTATAACGGACTGGGTTTTCTGTATATTAGAAGTTATTATATGAGGAACCATTTCTTTTCTTTGTGGTTTTTCACTAGTTTGCCTCATTAAAAACATGCGCATGCACGTGGATAAGTAATAATACTTACGTGTACACCCTCAGGGTCCACTTACTATGGGTGCAAAATTTCAGGTTTCTAGGCTCTTTCCTCTTGGAGTTATAGCGGTCACACACAGACCCACAGACACGCCCTTTTATTATTATAGATTATAGCAATAATGATTATTATTATATGTTCCAGTTAGGGTATTAAAAAATTGCTATCCTGTAAAATAAACAATAAAATAGAAAAGCAGGCAGTGTTTTACTATTTCATAGCTTCAGTTCCACTCATCGTTGAATTACTAGAATCTCGACTGTAATCTATGATGTTGCCATCCGAATCCAGATTCATTATTACACCGTATCTTAACATTGTATCGGTAATTATTATCTGTTTCCTTCTGTGTTAAATAAATTGTTTAGTTGTTACAAATATACAGGAAACAGTTTCTCTCCTCATTGACTGTATAAACACTTCATACAGACACACCAGTTAGCCTGGCTGTCATCTGTACAATCCCTTGTACAGCAAGGGATTTTGTGTCACTACATAATTTACTGTAGACATTAAGTAACATTTTTTAACTTGGCTTTTTTAAAGGTTACCCCTTAGATCGTGAAAATAAATAATTCGTAACAGTTACTCTCGATTTCCACATCCAGCGAAGTGAAAATGACTGTTAAGATCTACTTTTACCTCAGGCCATGAAAAAATATATAAAACTTATGAGAAGAATATAATTTTTACTACTTAGAAATATTATCAATAATACTATCATTTTTTGAGTGTTTTAGTAATTTTAAAACGCTAGATTTAATATATTTAAAACGAACTATTTTTTGATGCTCGTTGCGCGTGACGTCATTATTGCAAACTTAAGTTGGGTACGTGCATAGGTGTCTTTGACCTGACGTTTATCTCACGTTCGCATAAGGCACCGTTCGTGTTGAAAATTCAAATTCTCAACTAAGGCAGTAGAGTACGAATAGGGGGGAGGGGAACCCGTCCCCCAATATTTCAGAAACATTTTATGTTTAAGAGAGAGAGAGAGAGAGAAAGGCGTAGTGATTCTGGTGCTTTATATGTATATAAACTTTGTAGGGAAAGGTATGCTGCTCGTATGCACATGTAGCAGGTGCGTGGGCTACAGGGCGTGTCACATCAGTACACTGTTGGTTCTCAGTGTTAA